TTTTTCATCATCATCAGCCGATGAGAACCCACTCTTGAGTAAAGGCCTCTTCTCATGTGGAGAAGGTTTTTTTTACGTAACAATATAATTATAATGTAAACTCTTGATAGAATAAATCCAGTAATTAGTTTAAGGTTTGCAGTTTCTACTTTTTAATATTTTTCAACTTGCTCAATTATTCAGAAATCTCTTTTCCTTTCAACATTGTACAAATAAAACTATATTTTAAGGAAGACATTCGAATTGCATCACCAAACTCTTAAGCTTTGTAAATACGCATTCAATTAAGATTTTAAGATTCTTTGTAGTCATAAATTCTAAATATGTGTACAAAAATCGATTAAAATCTTAGCTAAATAAACGAACACTATTATTATTTACTTTCAAATAAACTCTTTTAATTAGGTATTAAGTTAGGTATTTAGTTAATATATACGATTTCTTAATATCTTTTGAAGTCGGTGCCTTATATTTATGGCAATATGGGTCATATTTATTATTTAATAGGAATATAATAGGAATATAATCCTTTGGTCTATTTAATAGGAATATAATCCTTTGGTCTCAAAAAGAAATATAATTTTAGTTTCATAACGGTTACTTGTTATTTATTGAATTTATCGAATCATATGACGAAAAGTAAAATATTTTTGGGTGTTTCTAACTTATATTTGTATTTTATGAATATATAAAAGGACAGAAAGGTTACATAATACTGCTTCAAAATTAAGAAAATGTTGTATAAATTGTCTTAAAATAGTAATTTCTATTAGACAAACGTTATATTTTAAGTGAGACACCAGTGGTTTAAAAACCTTTTTTTGTCTGTGCAATATAATTAAGGATACAAAACGTTTTAAATCATGGATTCTCGATATACTGTTGTCTTTATTTGTCTGTTTTTATATAAGAAAACATGCTGAAATAATTTTTGAATGGCATGTTGATAAAATGAATGAAATTAATAACATGACCTTCAGTTAATGTTTTTCCGGAGTCAACAATATAATCAGAGCCAGTGATACATTTTGCTTTGTCATTGCTGTCCTTTTCTTTTTGATGACGAGGTGAAACTCTTTTTATGAGCCGTCCAAAAGGCCTTGGTGGGGCCGGAAAGGATGTGTGAGACTCGGCCTGGGCAGGTTCTTACTCACTAAAACCACTGCGAAAGCCATCGGCCGCTATGTCGGTGCACCCTGGATCTGTCACTTCTGTCCTCAATCATATTATCCCAAAACTAATTGATATCTACCGAAGGTGGTAGCACATTATTCTAAACATTTGTCTTCACTGAACCTGGGGATATACAATTCACACGAACTCCCTTGTCTGCTAGCTCCCAGGCCACACATTTTGTAAATTGTAACACCGCAGCCCTCTACACATTGTATGCTAATAAGCCTATTGATACTTCTGTAGCCATTATACTTGCTATATTAATAATACATCCTTTACTTTCTATTAAAGCCTCTGCAGCATAATGTGTTAGAGTTATGCCAGAAATTACATTAATATTAAGAACATTATCAACGTACTTCAATAAATCAGCTCATTTTATATCACCGACGCGATTCTCTCAAAAGAGATTCACTCAAATTACGACACTCTTCTGCTACGCGATTCAAATTTTCTGAGCTTATAATTATAGTAATGATAAATATGCAGATAATTTCACAAATTTAATAGCAATTTACCTACCTATACCAGAAGCAGCACCAATTTTTTAGAATGACTTTATTGTTGAAATTGATTTTTTGCTAAAGTTCATAGCTTTTCTAGCCAAACTGTTACAAATAATTCAACTGTTCATATTTTTTAACAACATATATTCTATCACTTACCTGTTTTGTAACTTACCACGTTGTTCAATTTTCATTCAATGAAAATTTTTAAGCAAAATATGCTGTTAAAAAGATAAATAATAATAAAAATATCACACTGAGCTTAATAAATGTATTTAATAAAATAAATTACTTTAATTATTTTATACATATTAAAATAACATAAACGCTGAAAGTAGTCGAAAAACTAACCGAAAAATAGTTAAGCAAAAAAATTATGATAATAAAGATTACAGCGAAAATTTTATGATATAACTTAAAAGTAAATTACTATCCATTGTACTTTATTTCAAGATCGATTTATTGATAATTAATTTTATTTAAAAATTACACAATCATGAATAATCTTATATTTTTTAGCACAGTGTTCTAAAAAATATATTCCAATCAACATTCCTCTATTGTTTCAATGTGTTTTACATCAATATCAATTATTCTGGTATGTTCCTTAATTAAAAGATGATTATAAAGGTATGATGTCTTAATTTAATAATAATAGGAATTCTGTATAAAAAGTAATGTTACCTACAGCCATAACTTGGAAGAAAAACTGAGAAATGTTCTGAACCATTTTTTATTGATAAAATTAAATCTTATTATTTAAATTTTATGAACTATTCAACGTTGGTTTGTGCATCCAATGTGCAGTATAATTACAATATTGAAGTTATATAATCATAAATGACACGGGACACCTTATTCCTCTTAAAATTTTTCAATAAATAGAATTCATAATCACAAAACTTTAATCACAATTATGTTTTAATATTATAATTTTTCCTTTAAAAATTTTAAGGTTGAAATTTACATAAAATATACATATAACTGTAAAGAACAATTAACATATATCTGTCATAATTACGATTCATTTTTAGATTTTATACTTAATTATTTCGGCTCGACACCCTGAGCACCGCAATATGAGGAAATTTATAAAGATGACACTTACTATTGGAGTCTTCGAATTCACAAATCCTCCTTCCTTATCTTCTTGGGCCAGAAGATGTAAAAGATTGATCTCAGACAGTTAGAGACTTTATTAAAACAATTCATGATCTAAATGAAACTAATATTATTCGGATTGCTACATCACATCTTTTCTGTTCGTAATCATGTTTCTGAATGTAGTGTAAAAAAAATATTCTAACTAATCCGAATAATATTAGTTCAATTTAAATGAATACTCTCTAAACTCTTAGAATCCACGATCTGAAAACCGCGAATTAAAATCCAAAAATCTTAATTATTCCGCCAAATTCTGTACACTCATCATATGTAATAAGTAATAAATCAACACTAAGCAATATTTTAACAACGGAGATTATATAATTAATGAACTCTATATTTATAAAATTCAACGATCAAGTTAAAAATTGATTAATACTACATGTAAATATAAATTAAAAATATTTAAAATACTAAATAGTTCAATAAATTTTGTCATTTCATACAAATTCATAAATAATTACATTCAATTGAAAATTAAGAGCAATCAACTTTATTTGTAGAACTAGCTGTTGAATTTATAAAATAAAATTTAATTTACTACATAGGTTATGGAAAAATACTCCGAAAAATATATCATATTCCATCTTCCCAGGTACAAATATATAGTTTTCTTATTTTACATATGTATATGAGATATGCCATATATTTTATCGAAAATGTACATATGAAAAGGAAAAAATAAGCCGTTGATTTAATAATCTCTTAGTAAAGATGGAGTTTATTTCCCACAATTTTATTTCATACCACAATCAACTAGAGCCCAGAAATCGTGATTTAAGTTTTTCTATCTTAACGGTTCATGTGTCTTTATACATATATGTTTGTAAATTAACATTAAACGTTCTAAAACAAAATAAAAAATAAAAATTACAATTAAATAACACGAGGCTGTAGCTAAATTATAATTGTATAATAAGAATTGGATTTATTTTTAAGCGCATCTGCTCTAGAAAACCCACACAAAAATAAATTATATTTTGATTGTTTTTAGGTTTTTATTTTGTTTAATAAATACTGTACCCTCTTTTAATTTGTAAATTAGATTATCTTAGCAACCTGGGAAGTCTTCATACATTTTATTTTAGTATGCTTTAAGCAAGTTTACACACTGCATACGAGACGTTAATAGTCTAATCTCACTTTAAACTGTAAGTGTATACTGTTAGAATGGAAGTTCCTGAAATGAAACTAAGTAAATTTTAATATTTTCTAGTACTACTGGAAGGTTATAAGTTATTTTTATAAATCTACTTGTCGTATATATTACCCTTTTTTGGTGAAATGATTAATTTGACTTCAAATATTTTTGAATTTATCAATCATAAAATAAAAGCACTTAGGATTCATGCTTGCGAATATATTATTTTCAAGTGTATGTACTATTTTCTCATATCTTAGATCACATTATATAAATATTTTTTTTATTATCATATTTTACTGACTTTTTTTTCCTTCGCTCCAAGATAAGAAAAAATAGAACTGTCGTTGGAGATAGTTTATTGCACTGGGTATTTTGTTCTTAGAGTGATTGTAACACATGATTCCCTGGAGTGGCCAATATTACAACTGTTACTTTTCCATTATCACCAATAAAATTTAAATCTCTAAATAATTTATAAAAGAAATTGAATGTTTAATTTAAATTTTAGTTTCTATGTTTAATTTTAATTTCTATTTTAGAAAAAATCTACAGATGTTTTTACAGATTTAATATTATATACACACACTATTTATTTAAATACATGTTAATACTTTTATACATTTAAGCAACTGATATAGAAAAATAGAATTTTTATATGTATATTTTAACAAACTTAAATGTGGATACGAGTACAATTTGCTTTGCAAGTAGTTTCTAACTTTTTCATAAAAATCTCACAGATTAAAAAAATTCTACGTTTGCTGTTCACATAACAGTAATTAAATTAGAAAGGCAAATAAACGGTATATTTATTAAAATTATTAAAAAATTACAAAAATCTTAAGGGCTTTAATAACCATCAGTGATTCTATATATGTTATTTACGATTTAAATAGTTGAAAAGTTAGAACGGCATATAATACATATATATGGAATAAAAGATGCATTGTTTTCTTTATACCATTTTATTGACCCAGAAATAAAAATAAATAAACCCAAATGTGTTCATATTAAACTCTTTGAACGGACCATCCAGAGTCAATAATATAATCATTTCCGGTGACACTCCTAGCTTTAGAACTCGCCAAGAATTCCACAAGATCGGCTATCTCGTCCTCAGTTACTGAATGTTTCAACGGAGCCTCCTTAGCCCAGGTATCCCAATATTTATCATTTTCTTCCTTTGTCCCAAAATCACCCATTACATTCTGACTTCTTACTGGCCCAGGTGATATACAATTTACTCTTACCCCCTTGCCTGCCAGTTCCAAGGCCGCACATCTCGAAAAATGAAGCAAACCAGCTTTCGACACACTATACGGTGAGGCTTCCTTTATTGCAAGAGTCCCAAACAGACTTGCTATATTAATAACATTTCCCTTGTTCTTTATAAGAGAATCAGAAGCATAATGGACAAACGCAATTGCTGCTTTTAAATTAATTTCAAGAATTAATTTCATATCAGCAATCAAATTGGGACTGGTTACACCAACTCTCGAACCAAGTTCACCACAGTTAATTAAAACGTCTATTCTCCCAAAATGTCTTACCGTGTCGTTGACGGCATTTTTGATGCTATCTCTGACAGTAAGGTCAGGAATAAATACACTGAAAACTTTCTTTTTTGTTATTTTTTCACACTCTTGAACAATACTTTTTAAGCTTTCATCAACACAGTCTATAAGAGCAAGTTTTGCGTTTAGCTTGGCAAATTTGACTGATATACTCTTGCCAATTCCCATTGTTGCACCAACTATAAAAACTACTTTATCTGAGAAACTCATTTTGCGGCGTTTAAAAATATTTATTTTGTTAATTTTGTAATTTAAATACACGTCTACTAGCACAAAGCAGTGTGTCGATTACGACGGAAAGCAGTTATAAATACTCGAAATAAACATCTCTTATATATAACGCTACTGGAGTCAATAGAATAGTTTTTAATGCCATTAAATTAATAATCATCGCTGATAATGATTTTCTTTAATTATATTAGAGAATAATGATACTAAACAAAAAATACCTTATTTACTAATTATAGTTAGTATTCTTTTAAACGTACAGATTCTTTACGGTCTGTGTTTTTTATAAGTTCTGAAGTATTCAAACTAATTCTTATAGATTTATAATTAAATACAATATTTTTTAAAACTCAAAGAAATTAATGTTAACTGATGGTTCACTTTGTAAAATCTTTATAAAATGCTTCTAAAAAATATGCTCAACCGATAATCAACGCTCTTAAAACTGAATATAAAAAAAACTCTAATGAAATAGAGGTGGTCTTATCTTTAAAAGTCATTTTATTCGAACCTTTAAGAGTAGAAATTCATCATCATCATCATCAGCCTATCTGAGCACACTGCTGAGCAAAGGCCACTTCCCACATGGAGAAGGTTTGAGATGTAATCATCACGCTTGTTCAATGCGGATTAGCGATTTCAAACTTATAATTTGTAATTATAAGTCCAGGTTTCGTCAAGATGTTTTCCTTCACCGTCTGTCAGTGGTGTCTAAATATGTTTAGAAAGTAAATACATATGACTCGGAATAATCACATTGTACTTGTTATGTAGCGAATCCGCACACTCTTCTATGAGAGATGGGCCTTTAACCTCTAAGAATAGATATTATCGTATTAAAAATAAAGTGACAAAATACAGGGAGTGTTTAACAAAAATTGTGTAATTTGACAAAATATTTGACCACTCCTTCAATTAAATGATATTAAAATAATGTTTAAAAAGGGACTGGCTATTGTATTCATAGTTGATTAAAGAAATCAAAACGTTTGATAAAAGGTTATATACTTAAATACGCTACTTAAATTATAGTGTACTGTCATGATGTAAAATTAATTTTGAGGTCATGACAGTACAATATAATTTTAGGTATATAAGTTAAAGTAAAGCAAATTGCAACCTATATTGGTGGGCTTCCTAGAAAAGAACAGATATAAGAACTAACAAATGACTAAATAAACTGGAAATATATATTTGGAGTTAGGTAGAAAAATACATGAATAATTTAGTTAGTTAGTAGGCTACCAAACAGTAATTGTCAAGAAAATGGAACTCGAATGATGTTGGTCCAATTTCTAGAATCTTCCAAAGATGTAAGCCAGAATAGTATAGCCATGTAGAATCTCGTATTCACAATTAAGAGTATAGAAGCGTTTATGACTTCTTTTAAACCGAATTAAATTTATGTCATCAGAACTATTACAAAAAACGTTGTTAGATTTCGCGTATGTCATGTTCTCATTAAGGAATAATTAATTACCTATTATTTGTGAGCGATATAGCATCTTAAAATCATTCCTTTTCAATGTTAACTTCTTTTTTATATACTTTTGTTATATTTGAAAAATATTAAAATTATGTAAAATATTGATTACAAAGAGTTATAATATGTGTTTTAAACAATAATGAAACAAACATATTCAAACATAATTACAATCATAGTTCTCTATCTTGTTTCAATCGTTAATAACAAATGTGAAAAATACAGGTTTACTTAACATAGTTGACCTTAAAATATTCTAGGTATATATCTGTCTTGTGCCTTAAAGCACATAAAGAGTAATATGTATAAAAAAAAATAAAACAATAATAACCTTCGTAATTTTAAATGACACTAAATGCTTCCATTTTATCTCTTTCGACACATAATGAGAAAAGTCAATATTGCAGCTTAAAACAATTCTTTGCCAAAGAATAACAATGTACATTAAGAACAGTACTAAGACTTACTCGATTACTTAGCTTAAAGATTATCTTTGTGGTTGAATATACTTAAATATTTACAAATTATTTACAACCCAACCTGATAACTAATTCAATATTATGTCAAGGCAAAGTATGCATACATTATAAGAAATTTCTATGTTAGCTTTAAATTAATTGTCTGCACTTCTATGCTAACAACTAAGTAACAAGAACTAACTAACAACTTCTGTAGGAGTCATTCTTAAATGTTTAATACGGGAAAGCAAAACTATTTTATTTGATAATACAGCAGAAACTGTTTTTCGACAATAAGTTTCACGTTTGTACAAACTCTCAATTAAAATGAATCACTTTATTAAGAAAAATTTACTGTTTAATATAATGGAATTAGAATGTTACACAATATAAGTTATAAAACATTGATATCACAATGTAGTAAAATTAACATTTATTTATGTCTATTTTATTTAATAGTTAAATGTAATTTTTAAAGCCACAGAAGTCAAATTGCTCTTCATCTAATTGTTAACTTTTATGGCCATAACTGTGTTAAATTTACAAGATTTATTACTAAATAGGATTTTCTGTACCTAGAATAATATATATGGTCCTATTTAAGTCCGCACCAAATTGTAATACTCGTAGTAAAAAGTTCTTATAAAACCGATAAGTATAATCTTGTAATTTGATACCCTTCATATAATAGGAAGTCATGTGATAACGCAAATACTGTGCTACCAGCCAAATTTGGACTTAGGTTAATAAATTATTTAGTTGTAGTAATGTTAAATAAGTTAATAATGAGAAAAAAAAATATTTAATTGGTTTTAAAATCCATAGAATTCAGAACGGTAACTTAATTCGCTTTAATCCAAAACTAAAGTCCCAGATAAGTATATAAGATAAGACTACTTCTCAGACGTTATTGATCTTTGGAAAACAAAAATTTATATTTAGAATAATGAATGAATTTTATTTCTTACATTTAAATAAATTTTCATTTATGTCTTTTATTTTTCAGCATTTTGTTTTTTTCACTGTTCAACTGATAATAATTATTAAGTTACATTCTTTAGTAATCTAACATTATACGACGATCCGTCAATGCAGTGTATATTGGGTTTGTGAACTCATACTGTGTTCAATTGTTGAATGTAAATTAGTTTGTAATAAATAATACTCTTATATGTGGTAGTACGAAAGATTAATATAATACATTACCGTATATATATACATATCTTCTACATAAGCACATTATGTGTTAGTTCTAGATATGATTGATATATTTAGAGGAGAAATGAAATGTATTAATAAAGAGCGCCTTTCAGAACCCTTAATTAAAACAATGTAACTCGTATGCTTGTAATTCTTAAAACGTTTACTTTTGGTATAAACATAAAAATAATATTATTTATTAATGTAAAAATTCCACAAGACTCAATAACATCGTAAAAAATAACAGTAGAAATGGTCATTTGAAAAAACAAAATCCTATTTTTTTGGTTTGGTGTGTCATACGATATATAATAAAATACGAATACCAGGTACAGAGGTTTTTTATCTACTTAATAATAAAAATATTATTGTCTATTGTACTACCTAAAAAAATTTAGATATGTAATACATCAAGAATGTGCTATGTGCAATTTTATGTGATTTTTGTTTGACAAAAAATTATAAGAAAAATATTAAATTTTAGCACCTGATGGGGTGCAAAAATATAACATTTACTTAAAAATTGTATAACTATAAGAAATAGGTATGGTAATGATTTTTAAAATGTTCATATATTACGTACGTTTAATTATACATATTTTTTATTTGACATAAATAGAAATATTTATATACTATGTTCCTAGAAACGTGATATCGAAATACTATTTATATTAAATATTTGTTTAATACTATTTAAATAATGTTGTAAAATAAATATTGACATTGTAATTAGTATGCTTATCTCTTCTTTTACTAGGACTGTTATATTATCAGTTGCCATCGTATATAAGTTTGAATGTATTTACACCTTACCACAAACATAAAAACTGTTCGGCTGATCACAACTGTTCTTATAGTTCCCAAACTTTAATGAATTATAAAGGAAATGAGTTTTAAAAATAAAGTAATTTTAATAACGGGTGCTGCTTCTGGTATAGGAAGGGAAATTGCTATTCAATTTGCAAAATTATCTGCAAATTTATCATTGCTAGATATCAGCTCAGAAAATTTGAAGCGCGTGGCGGAAGAGTGTCGTAATTTGAGTGAATCTAAAGTATTTACATTGGTCGCTGATTTAAGAAAGAGTGATAATGTGAAAACTGTAGTTGATTTAACAAAAGGAGAGTTTGGGAAGATTGATGTACTTGTAAATAGTGCCGGCATTGCTCGTGTCGGTGATATAAAATGTGTTGATTTATTGGAGGACGTTGATAATGTTCTTAATATTAATGTGATTTCTGGCATAGCTCTAACACATTATGCTGCAGAGGCTTTAATAGAAAGTAAAGGATGTATTATTAATATAGCAAGTATAATGGCTACAGAAGTATCAAGAGGCTTGTTAGCATACAATGTATCGAAGGCTGCGGTGTTACAATTTACAAAATGTGTGGCCTTGGAGCTAGCAGACAAAGGAGTTCGTGTGAATTGTATATCACCAGGGTCAGTGAAGACTAATGTTTTAAATAATGTGCTACCACCTTCTGAAGATGTTAATAAGTTTTGGGATGATTTAATTGAGGACCATCCATTGCGTAAATTAACTACGACCGACGATATAGCACACATGGCAGTGTTTTTAGCAAGTGACAAAGCAAAAAGTATCACTGGCTGTAATTACATAGTGGACTCCGGAAAAACATTGACCAAATTTGCCTCTCGCTTTCCTTGAAAATCATTAAACAAAACAACTACATATGTATTTTCCATTTCTTATTAATTATTTAAAATATATTAAAACCTATATAGCATCTAAAAACATGTAAATCTGAAATAAGATAGTGATTTATGCAACGCAGCCTCCTTCGAATAGTGCGACGTCAACTTCCGATTACAACTTCCTATTGGAATAGATCATAGCCTCAGTAGGTTCGTATATCAGGAAGCATATTTACTACCAAAGCTTCGATAACTAGAAAGCTAGGGACTCTAAGGGAGCATCTAGAATATAGTGGATACACTTTTATCTACGAGTGTTTGCAGTAACCTTCGTAATTGAACCAATACCTATTATTTTAATTGCCTAAGATAATTTACCACAATCCATAACAATTTTCTTCTAAATGTTTTTCTGAAGTAGTTATAACACATTAAGGGTTTCCACCCACCTGTTGTTCATATTATGATGAGGGACCTCAAACAAAAGCTCCCGTTAAGATTATACTAGTTTCTTCTTTATGTAATAGATGGCTCTTATTGTACATAAACGCCATCTGTGAGAGAAGCCTGTTACTAAAGAACAAAGACGACATTAATACAATATACTTTTAATTAAATTCATATTCATTTAGATCGTCAACTATTTCAGTATTTTAGAAATATATAATTTTTTCAATTATATGCATATGACCTGAACATTTATTTTTAATTTTTTTAAGAAGTTTGTGCTAACCTTGAAACCGGAGAAGACATTGCATCGTTCTGTATTTAATGAATAAAATACATGAATGTTAAGCGTACATTTTGAAATATTAAAAGAGAAAAATATAATATGCAAAAGCTGGAAAGTAGTTAAAATTAGTATTCAATAGTTCAATATGGGATATTACTTTTTATTTTTTAAAAAATATACATGTATTTAGATATTTCTATATTTGATTGTAAATAAATTATGTATTAATGTTTTATTATTATTCTATATAAGTATTCTAACAGTGAAAAGCAAAATAGAACAGCAATACAACTTTGCACGTTCGAAAGTGGTCGAATGTGAATTCAATTTATTTGTATTTGCAAACTTTCTCAAACGATTCTCAAGGATTTTAAATTTCTTACCTTTTCTATACTTACAGTAATAAAATTACAAAGGAAAATAAAATTCCTGGTAACTTATGACTTGTTATAAAAACCAAAGTGTAGATGAAATATTCGCATTTAGACTATTAAATACATATGTTTTTACATGTTTTTTTTTAATAAAAATTTCATATCCTTTAATTTTTTGCACTTTCCTTTGTTTTTGGTTCTTTATTATTAGAACGTGTGCTACTGTTCTATAATTTAAAATTATTTATTTAATCAATTGAACATTGTTGTATTTTTTAATTGCAGTTACAATGTTGTTTATATTCTGTAGGTAATTTATTTTAAAACAACAAATACTTTATTATATTTTAAATTGTTTTATATAATGTATCTGCATTCTGCACGTACCACTATTTGGTTTGATCGAATTGTATTTAAAGCAAATATTCTTAACATAAATGAAATACAGGTAAATTTTATTTCTACAACTTGAAGTTTTTGAATTCTTTTTTTATTAAATTGGCTTGAATTTAGAATATTTAATACTGAAAAATCTCACTGACTCAATATATCAGTTTGTTGAGGTTCTATTCAATTTATTTTACAAGTTCTTGGCACACTGCTTTGATGCATTTAGATTAAATTTAAAATAGTATTTGTAGATTTCTCTTAAATTTATTTGAAAATCGAACAGCTTAGCCAAACATGTTTGAAATTCTCTGTACGGAGAGATCTGAAAAGGAAATAGGAAGATATTATTTAAGATATATTCTATAAGCAATGTGAGTGATTTCTTTATAGTTATAAAGATGATACCCACAATTACTTTAAATTGGTAAACCTGTTTTTAAGTAATAAAAATTTTAAAATATTAAACTTTTCACAGCATTATTGACATTAATTATTAAAAAAAAAAATCAGGTCAAGTAAATAACAGACTACTTATAAAATTATTTTCTTTTTACTCCTAATTAGTAAAGAGATAAGAAATTAATTTGAATACTATGTATTACCATTTTACGTACTAAATAATTTTTTTAAATAATTAGACATATATTTTTTATTGTAATGTTTGGTAAAGCAAAGCAATTTTACTGAATTAGCTTTGAAAGTAAGTAGAATTAATAATAAAATTGAAATTAATGTATGATTTTGTAAATTATTCTCTTCATTCATATGAATGTATATATGTATATGGATAATGGATATATATCTAATGGAGAATGAATGAATGAGTAATTTTGTTTTGAATAACATCCAGCTTCAATGAGGAAGTTCTCAAAATAGATCGTAATTTTGTTTTAAACATAAGAATGCTGAATATTTTCAATCTACTTTTAATTTAAATAACATAGCTTCTTCAATTTCATTTCTAAACCCCAATGCTCTTTCATTTAATTATATATTATGAGGTTCTTAGATAATGGTTACTTCCACGATAGTTTGCATAAACAGATCATGTCGTTTTATATTTTGGTATTAACCCTACGTTAAAAATCTCAAATTTGAATACAAAAACTGAAGCATAACAACCTTATTTAAACCAAAATGTCCTATTATTAATGTTCTGCTAAAGTTTAAGGGTTATGCAATTAAAATTTATACCTGACGTTGTTAGAAAACATTGATTGATCGCTCGTTTAAGAAACTTTGCTTTCGAACATTAATTTTATTTATGAAAATAGCAATTTTGAAAGACTTTCAATCAATCGACCGTATTAAGTGTGATTTTAAATATTATATAATCCATAGAAAACTTATTGTATTATTATAATGCCATCTAAAATGAAGGCTTATTAAACATGTGTTATTATAAATAAACGATAATAATTTAAGCTAATACTTTTTTTTGGAAATCTTTATTATTTTGAGAATAATATTTCCTGTATTTTCCACTTGGTTTTCGTATATACATGATCAGCATAGCGATTCTATTAGCTTCTATCAGTTTCCAAAGCGATCGAAAGACTTTGAAAGTTTGCTTCCATGAGAACAGTTTTGAAAATCATTTTAGTGAAAAAGGAATGTAGCATTTGAAACTACATACAATTCATTGTTATCATACTAATATTATAAATGGATAAGTTTATAACATTGTCCCACTCTATCAAGCATAAACTTTTTTAAAAAAATTAAAAAAACTTCATCCAATATAGCCCATAATGAAGCACGATTGTAGGAGATAATTTATCTGGAAGTTCTGTGAATTAAGTGACGAAATAAATGGATATATGGAGGTTGGTTATCAAGTACATTTTTAAAAGGATCTTTATATGGAAGTTAGTTAAAAAGTATGTATTTGAAAGGACTCTTTATATATTTTGTCTCTGAACTCAATTCTGAAGTGTACGCAAAACAGTGGTACAGAGATCGATATATTTGTTATCCTTAAATTATCCTCTGTCAATATTATATGACCGAAATATAAACGCAATGACCCTTCATATTAATAACCCATTGTATAAGATTTGTCTATTTTAATTACCTTTTTCGATAACATAAGATCACTTGTCATATACGGTTGTTATGTGATCAAAATCAAAAACTATGAAAATTAGAGTTACTGTAAATTGAAGCGATGCTAACAAGTAGTTACTTAATTAATTTACCATTGACATATCTCCTCAGTCATAAAAGTCAAAGAATCTGTAGCTAATTAAAAATAAATCAGATTAAGAATTATCTAGAAAGTAATAAATCAATTAATAATTTTGACATAATTAATAATATAAATTTATTTCAGTGGACATCAAGATAATGAAAAATCAGCATTAAAATTACATTTTTTTGAGCTAATTGAACAAGATAGATAAGGCAAGAATTTTGTCCGCTTATGAAGTAATCACACTTATATTATAGCAAATTAAATCGTAATTACAGCTTCAATAAGAGAACAATTGAAAACCCTAGTATTTTTGTATAATTTCACCTTCTTATTATTAAATTTTTATTTAGTTTTCGTTCAAAGATCTTCATACTTAAACGCTGCCATTTATGATCAGATGAAACAAATGTTCGCCGTCATACATAAAAATGCTGTCATACGTAAAAACTATTTTCCAGAACAACGATACCAAACACTTTGATTTCAGTGCACTTAATTATTCTATTTTATTAGCGACCAATTATATTTCCATAAACAAAAAGTATGTATTATTTATGACCTTTTATTTATTGAATTTTAAAAATATGGGTGAGAGGAAATAAGAAGAATATTTTAATTTTAATATGGAAGTGATTAAAATAAAGTCTAGTTAACTTAAATTTAATATTAGTATCAATATCAGTTTAAATAAATATAATTAAAAGCTTTTAAAGAAAATAACACAAAGTTACATCTCTCTTAAACTACACACAAGAAAGCAAAGAAGACATCTCATAAATAATTTAACAGATCTTCAACACACTAACATATTCAGTCACTGAGATTTTTCAAGGTAACTTAACTTAAACTGAAGCCAATTTAATAAAGCACTGTGTCCTATATATGAATGTTATTTATATGAAATTAATCTTTATTGCCTTAGAAATAAGATTCTTTTATAAATACGGAGCATTTGCAAGAAATTCAGTTCTCCTGAACTGCGAGCATATCGTATTATATTTATCATTTATTTAAATTATGTTTGTGTTTAATTCAAAGAGAGTAGCTTCACATTTAAATTTCTTTTATTTCTTGTAGTCTATATATATTATATATCGGATTTATTACACATTCGTTGTTTTAAAGAGAGAGACGTCAGAATCGATGACGTAACTAATGTCACTTCTTTCAGTACGTTCCATGATATTTTAAAATGAAACTTCTATTGTTCTTAATTTTCCTGTATTTCTCGAAGGTTCGCGCGTCCAGACGTCATATTTATGAGAAGATTCATAGTCCTATTCTTCTTTTAAACAATCTTTGATTTCCTTTTACTTTTAACAATAATCATGAATACTAATGAGTTTTAATAAAAGTTGATGATTGGCTCAAATTATTTTCGCGTCGCATCCGTTATTAAAGCTGATAGCGCCGTTATATATTAGTATGTATACATATATATAATATATATGTATATATACGATGATATATATATATCTTAGATTGGATTAGGCACCTCAAGCTGTAAGTGCCTTCGTATGACGCATTAAATCCCAACGACATACAATAAATATTTGTCATGACTGTTGTAAAAAGTTTCTTTAGGGTTGTCGTTTCAGACAGGAAACCGATGTGGAACTTTCATTTTGCTAAGTGCTCGTGCGGTCGTCTTCTGGTAGGCCTAAAAGGCTTATTCACTGTGCGTGAAACGTGTTCGATATATTGCGTATCAATGAAAGCATTACAAGGATAGCTTGGGTTCGAAAAATTCAGATTCAATACAAAAAAAAGCAAATACTTTGGTAAAATTGTTTTTAATTCAATATTACTTATACTATTTAATCAATGTACACTGTGAAGGATCAGTGGTGTGCCATCAATCCGGCTTTGATTAGGCCATTACAACTTCGAACTGTATATTCTAAACCTAATTGAATGTTCCAAATAACGGTATTAGCACGGGCAAATAATCTAATTAGTTCTAGTATATCGGTCGATATATCTATGAAACTTCAACGTCAAAATAGAATCTCTTGTCGAATTAATTCTGTGATATATATGGTGATATGTGATGAGAAAGGAAAGCAATTACTTTGATACTGAAGAGTTTATAGGTTTTGTATTAATTTGACCGAATTTGACTCAGAAATTGGTCAAAATTCCGTTAGGCTTGCAATATTCATAAAAAAATATTCTTATAATTCCAGTTTAATGACTTTTAGGGACGTTTTTATCGTAGATTTGCATCGCTCAGTAATTAAATTGCGCCATAAACGAGTACAAAACTATTCTTCTCACATTTTATGAAGAATAATTGATAGTGCGTACACTTCTGCTCGTTTTACATGACATATAATAATGCATATTAATAGTTTAAAAGTCTACATTTACTTAAATTTTTAAAATAAACATTGATTAACCAATGATGTTATTCAAGCCCTTTATGACATGATCAAAGTCATTTTTGGTATAGCATTGATAGATTTGAGATATTAAATAATTCCAATAAATTATTACGTTAAATACAAAACATAGTAATTGACTTTTATAGAGATTATTTAAAACAGTCCGATTATTTTGCAAAACTGTTAATTTCCAATATAAACAAAAAAATTAATATTTACATGCAAACATGGTCTTTAAATAATCACACCTCTTTCCTCCACGATACATTACAGCACTCCACATCTTAGTCAATACAACTTCTCTTTACTTTTGTTACAAAATATAACAATATAATATCAATATATTTTTGCAATAAGAATGCCTTGCTGCTAATATGTACAGGCATAAAAGTGTTTCACATTATCGAATATTCTTTACGAAAGACGTTGTTTATTTTATAACATGTTACGATATTATTAGATAGCATTTATTAAAATAAAAGTGTGCTATATAAATAGATAAGTACGGGATAAACCGCTCTTCTGTCTTTCTACACTACTTACATGGCAGATATATTAATAGGAGGTCTTATGTTTGCCAGAAGATCGATTAGGTTTGTTGAAGAACTTATGCTGCCACTTCATAGCCATCAGAAATCAACTGCGTGGAAAACAGTCCATTATAGATTTCTTCCCATTCATGTTTGATCGCATAATTCACGAAAAAATGCGGATGTCCATATTTTACTCTTTACTAATAGCATCTTGTGTGTACATGTGAATGTATCTCGATTCTTTTATGAATGGTGAAAGGACCAATAGTTTATTTATCTATCATTAAAATGTCTTGCGCTTGCAAAGAAGTATACTTTTCAAAACGGAGTTGATTTGAATTTGTGCTTACAAATGAAGTAGAGACAAAGTGTCGTTTCTGAAGCTGACGAAACTTCATTCTCACGAAGTTGACTCTTCAATGGAGATAGTATTGATCAACAATATATTAACATCTTCAGTATACAAAAACTATTCTTCACTTGATACGAAGTGATCCAAATTTGATCAAAGATATTTATGACCTTGTTTGCTAACATGGTTTATAAAGCAATGACGTTCTATTAAGTTGACGATTGTTTAACTTTTCTAAGAACAATTCCTCTCCTTTCTAAACTTTTGCAATAGACAATAGAATACAGTGTACAGTTGCGTCTCAGATAAGGGAGCATAATAACAATACTTCATTTTATATTCAAACAATACGAATACAAAATTTTGCCAACAGTATTTCAAAATATGTTATTTAACTCGTTATATAATTATAATATTATAATTCTAAGATGATTTGGTTTAAATTTATCATGAAGTTGGAAACGTATAAGTAAATAAAAAATTCCTTAAGAATCATTAATTAAACTAAACCTATAAGTTTTCTTACATTTTCATTCTAATTATCTTTATAAACAGTTTTTCATTATTTTTCGAAGCGTATTGCTAACATATATGTTTTATTTTATTTCAAAATGATTATCATACTTCATCGCGTTTATTTTAAGCGCAATAATTATATTGAATTTTAATAGGTAGCATGTAATGTTTTTATTTTAGCTTCCATTTTGAGAATTTTATGTAGGAATTATAAAAAAAAATTAAAATTTCAATTAAATTATTATTTTTATATATGCACAGTTTTTATATGGGCACATTCATAGAATTGAATGTGAACATATAATAAATGTGCATAAAAGAAATGTGCACATATAAGAAATGTATTGCGAGTGTGTTTATATAAACACGACATCTGTCTATCATTCACAGTACGACGCACTTGTATGTGTAGCCACGACCAGGATCTCGTACTTATTTGTGATTTTTATTTAACTCTCCATTACTATGCTTTTGTATAAGAGTGGTCAAATGTAAAGCTTGTACCTAGCAATAAAAATGTTATAAGAAAATTCAGTTATAAGATATATGTAGTTATATTATAAAAACTAGGTGATGCATATTCGCAAAAATCTCTTTCTGCGAGTTGAGTGAAGTGACTTCATTAAGAATTCGTACCTAAATAAAGGCTTTGAAGTTGTATAAATTTATTTGAAATTATAACAATACTTTGGATTCCGATGACACAACTAATATCGCTATTGAATACTATTATTCGTTTTATCAATATTAATGATAATGTGACACTCGTTTAAATTTTGCATGTGGGTAAAAAAAACATATGAAAATGAGATTTTTTAAATTGCCAGATATGTACTTTAAACATCGCAAATTACAAAGAATAAGTCGAAATCACCTGTCATAATGAAATAAATTTTTAAGAAAGGGGCTTCCTGTGAAGACTAAACGTTGTAAGAACTGTAATATGACAATTCTAATTGCAAACGTGTTATTGAGCAAAAGATAGGTGATACAAAATAACTGTAATAACAAATGTAGATAACAATATATGTATTTAACATACTTTAATGATTTCTCATATACATCTTCTCTCTTTGTCTGAAACTAATTTAAGAATAGGTATAAAAGTGATAAAGTACTAAATAATTTGGGGAAAACTTAAAGAAATAACTAAAAGGTACTAAAATAAAAGGTAAAATCGGTAAAATGTATGAGTATTATCCATTAGCATTAGCATATTAAAAATTAGCATATACTTATTTTCACCATCATTTTAGTATAAGAATTAACTTTTTTCATTCTCAGCGTATATAAATTATAAAAAAATATAATTAATTTAAAAAACCACATACCGCATTTAAATTGGAAAGTAATTTCGAGACACAAATGACTATAAAGTTGAACAAAAACATCGTAAATAAACAATAGGCAATCATTATATCTAGTCTTTATTGTTTAAAAAAATGTATTAATTTGACATTAAAATTCTTCATTTTAATAATAATTGTGTTGTAATAATATCAAAATTTCCACAGCATATTTATACGTTGAAATCATAAAGGTTCGGCAGTAACAAACATAACTCAACTCAAACGTGTCCGTAGACGTTAGATCAGATTTGATTCAGTTCGCTAATACAAAAATGAATTTCGCCGATAAAGTTGTTTTAATATCTGGAGCAGGATCAGGAATCGGTAGAGAAATGGCTCTACGTTTTGCGAAGTTGTCTGCCAAACTGTCACTCATCGATATCAATTCGATAACTCTTAATAAAGTTGCACAAGAATGTAAAAATATAAGTAAAATAAATGTCCATACTGTGATCGCTGATTTGGGAGATATTAACAATGCTAAATACATTGTGGATAGTACAAAACAGGAATATGGTAGGATCGATGTATTAATCAATTGTGCTGGTATAAGCGGTGGATTTGGAAGTAAAAGTGACGTTTTTATAGAGAATATGGATAAAGTATTTAATGTGAACCTTTTATCCCATATCGCTATAACCAATTACGCTTCAGATGCATTAATAGAAAGCAAAGGATGTGTTATTAATATATCAAGTGTTTTTGGAACGCATCCTACTAGAAATTTGATACCATACGCTGTTGCTAAGGCTGCTCTGATTCATTTTACGAAATGTGCAGCTTTAGAATTAGGTGAGAAGGGAGTCCGAGTTAATAGTATATCACCTGGACCAGTCAATACTAATATAGTGTTAAGTGATGTAAAAACTCGAGAGTTAAGTGATAATTTCTGGCAGAAATTGGCTGAACAACTCCCATTGAAGAAATTAGTTACTACCGAACAAATAGCTGAAGTGGCGGTATTAATGGCAAGTGAGAAAGGAGGTGGTATTACTGGATGTAATTATAAGGTTGACTCTGGGATGGCATTAAAGAGATTGACACTATAAGTATTCATTATATACATTTAAAATGCTACTTTTACTAAGCACTGTCTGCTGTCTGTCAAATGTCTGCGCTATATATATAAATGTCATAGTACATTGATAAATGTTCAATAGCTTGGTGAGTTTGTAAAGTTCGTGTGATATTATAAAATGATTAAGCTAACTAAAAATTGTATATATTTATTTTAAGGTAATTTTTTAACTTTTTTACACACATCATATTTCGTCTGCCCGTAATCACGGTTGCTGTAAAGTAACCGAAACGTCGGGAGTATGTAGTTTATAATAAAATAATAAAAAATAAAAATCGCGTAGTAAATCCGAAAATATTAGTTTCATTTTTTACTGTTATAGTTATATTTTGTGGCACACGTTTATCAGCTTAATGTTTTTTTTTTTTTTTTTTTTTTTTTTTTATTTAAACCAAAGGGGCAAGCGAGCAGACGGCCTGCCTGATGGTAAGCAGTCACCGTCGCCCATGGACATCTGCAACACAAGGGGTGTTGTAGATGCGTTGCCGGCCTTGTTTGTGAAGGAGCCACCTGAACACGTGATGTTTGAAAGACCCCATGTTGTAGCTCTCTGGAAAAGCCTCGGGCGGAAGATCATTCCACATCCTGCACGTGCGTGAAAAGAATGAACGCGACGCACGTACAGTCCTGCAACTGAATGCATCTAGATGATGTGGGTGAAATCCAACCCTACGCCGAGTAGTGCGATGGTGGAATGTGGACGATGGCACTACATCAAACAGTTCCTCGGAACATTCCCCATTGTACAGACGATAGAACACACTAAGGGAGCTTACATCCCTTCTGAGACTTAGGGGTTCTAGATCGTCTGTGAGCATGGGATCGTTGACAATACGAATTGCCCGACGTTGAATGGAGTCAAATGGAAGAAGTTGGTACTGTGGGGCACCGGACCAGAGGTGAGAACAATACTCCATGTGGGGACGAACCTGTGCTTTATATAACAAAAGCAAGTGTCCCGGTGTGAAGTACTGCCTCGCTCTACTCAGTACCCCTAATTTTTTTGATGCTAGTTTAGCCTTATCCTCCAAATGTCTCCGGAATTGAACGTCGTTCGCTATGTCAACCCCAAGGATCCCAATGCTCTGTTTGATCTCAAGGGGAACGTCCTGGAACTTTGGAGCTACAGTGAATGGGGTCTTTTTAGTGGTAAACGCGCAGACTTGTGTCTTCTTGGGATTAAACTGAACAAGGTTCAGCTTACCCCATTCGGAGACCTGCTCCAGGGAGGTCTCAATTTCAGACACAAGTCTCTTTCTGCTCTCTTCTACTTGGTCACGAGGAATATTAGCTCGGCCCATGTAATAAGCGTCACCAGTACTGTCATCTGCATAGCACCGAATGTTGCTGGTATGCAGCATGTCGTTGATATGCAGAATGAACAGCGTTGGTGACAGCACTGAGCCTTGGGGCACACCAGCGTTGATGGGCTTGGGTTCCGAGCAAGAACCGTCAACAACAACCTGTATGCTCCGCCCATGAAGGAAGCTGGCTACCCAGTTGCATAATTCCTCGGGTAGTCCGTACGATGGTAGCTTCGATAGAAGTGCGCGATGCCAGACCCGATCAAAAGCCTTTGCGATGTCTAGGCTGACCGCCATGGCCTCCCCTTTGCTCTCAATGGCTTCAGCCCATCGATACGTGAGGTATACTAGAAGATCACCAGCGCTTCGTCCGTGGCGAAAGCCATATTGACGGTCGCTAATAAGCTGGTTATCCTCTAGATAACCTAAAAGTTGCGTATTGATGATCCGCTCCATCACCTTTGAGAGTAGGGAAGTGATCGCAATAGGCCTGTAATTGGATGGGTCTGTGCTGTCACCCTTCTTGGGGATAGGGTGGACATTGGCCACTTTCCACGAAGACGGAACTTTACCAGTAGTATAAGAGAGTGAGAATAGGCGCGTTAAAACCGAAGTCAATTCAGGAGCACACATCTTAAGCACAATGGCTGGGATACCGTCTGGGCCGCTGGATTTCTTGACGTCGAGGGATGACAGGGCGGCACGCACAGCGCTCTGCGTAAAACGCACATTGCGCATATTTTCCCTGCACCGCGGAATGGTAGGCGGTGATTTTCCCCCATCGTCAAGAGTTGAATTCGACGCAAAAAGAGTGCACAGAAGGTCAGCCTTCTCTTTTGCGGAATTAGCCAGCGTTCCATCAGGATTGTGCAAGGATGGTAGGGAAGACTTACAGAAATTGCCTTGTACCGCTTTGGCGAGAGACCAAAAAGATCGAGTTCCTGAGGGAACGTCAAGTAGTCTCTCTCCAATTCTGCGAACGTGCTCCTTCTTTGCTCTGGTAATCTCCTTTTTGCAAGACCTGGAGGCAGCATTATAACCCTTTTTCAATTCGGACGTTTTTGGATCCTTCGCAGCTGATGCCTCAGCCCATGATCGGTATTTCAACTGTTTCGAGCGCAACGCTCCTGTACAGGATTTACCAAACCAGGGCTGAGACTTACCGCCCGTGCGAATAACAGAGCTGGGAATGAAACATTCCATTCCCTGCAGAATAGTATCCGCAACGGCGTTCGCGCAGATCGAAGGATCGTCCGAAGAAAAACAAAGCTGTCTCCAGGGGTAGGATGCGTAAAATTCTCGCAATCCTTCCCAATCTGCTGACTTGTAGTGCCAAACTAGACGTCTTCCGGGTGGACGGGAAGTCGTTGTTGGCACTAATTGTGTCTCGGAGTGCACCAGGCAGTGGTCAGATGACCCAAGGGGTGCATTGACGGACACCTTGTAGCGATCCGGACGACTGGTCAGCAGAAGGTCCAACAAAGAGGGGTTATGGTCCTCAACATCAGGGATCCGAGTGTGTTCTGGAACTACCTGAGTTAACCCATAAGCCAGAGCAAAGTTATTTGCGGCTTTTCCAGCGTAGTCTGTGGTACGTGATCCTAACCATTCGCAATGGTGGGCGTTAAAGTCACCTAGGATCACCACCTCCGCGCTGGGATACCGCTGGAGAACAAAATCTGTAGCCTCCTGGATGTGTCCAAAAAGACGATCGACTTCGGTGTTACCACTATGGGACCTGTACAGGCACGCGTAGACACGGTTTGAGCTACCGTTGTAAACTCGCACCCACATCACTGACAGGTCCTTATGTTCAAGGCTGTCAAGACGTTGACAACAAATATCCTCCTTGACGAATAAGCACACCCCGGCCCGCGGCAGAAATAGGTGCTCAAGTCTGTAACCGGGGTAATGTAGATACGAGGTGTCTTGAGGATTGGATATTTGCGTCTCGGTCAAAAATAACAAGGCCGGCTTAGCCGTTTCTAGGTGGTAATGGACGGCATGTAGATTAGAATGTATACCCCTTATGTTGCAAAAGTCCACTACAAACGTGGAAGGGGGTGCCGCTGTAAAAACCTTAATTCTTTTTTTTTTGACAGCCATTAATTTGAGTTTTAGTTCAGGAGATGGGATTGAAGGAGGAATGCTGATGGCCCATCAACTATCCTGTCAAAGAACATTGCCAATGGTCTGAATTGAGAGTGGAGTTTAGTGTGTCGCTGGCATGAGGCACGGAAGGGCCCCCGATCCGACCCGAAGTTGAAAACTGGGTTCCACTCCGGTCTCCCACTCCGGCACAGTCAACAACCGACGGGCTTTTGTCATTGGCGGTGGGACAGCCTCCTAGATCGGGACAGTCTAGGTTCGGGTCCCCTACGAACCAACGGGCGGCCAGCGGTAAACCGTTTCATCGGGTCTCCCTGGACCCCATGCCAATGAAACACGCTCAACACCTCAAAACAAACTCAGACTAATGTAGGACAGAAAGTCAATACACACATCAACATTCCGGGAGAGGGAAGGGTGGGGAAAGGAAAAGGGCATCCGGCTCTCTCACTCATCATACGAAACGCAGCCATTGAAGGCTACTTTACGCCGATCTTCTGTGAGAGGGTGGTACTTCCCCGGTCGAGCCAGCCCATGTTCGAGTTGTAGTGATTAACTACAGCTAGGCTCTACCACCTAAAAAAGTAATGTTTTGATAAGAGGCACCATACCTTTGATACATTTTAAATATTATATGTATTATATGAAATCCAATGGACATAATTCTTAGATTCAATAAAATTAACAAATACACTTGTCCAAGTTAACAATATTTCTGTTACAACTTACAAGAGAATTTAAAATTAATTTAGAAAACATGACAATTCTATAATAGGTATAGGTATTAGGTATACCTTTTTAATGAATTTTTAAAATATTTGCTCAGACTATATATTACTTATATACTTATAGTCTTTATGTTTATATAAATTAGATAATAAGTGGAGTTTATAAATTGATGGCTAGAAATAATTGTTTTAAACAATTTATATTAATAAAAAATTGCTAACTAAAATAAGTTGTTTTCATGTGGAATACATTTTTATCTGAAGTTTAAATAACAAGCACCCTAATTTATATTATAAATGCAAAAAAATCTGCATGTCTGTCTTTCTGACTCGATTTCACGTCAAAACGACTGAACTGTTAGAAGCAAGGTATGTAATGCTATTTATCTTATCATCTACATATATCTATCAATCATAATATTCATAATTTGTCTTTTAACATATTTCACCTTTCATTCACAATTGTTGCTTAAAATAGAGAGTGACACCTAATATAAGGTTGAAAAAATAAAATTAATTAATATTATTTTGCTCTATCTCTGACAGATCAAAGAAACGAAACAATAGTGAAATAGTATTTAAAATGTTTGTAAGTATTAGTTTCATTCTCGATAAGAAATTAAACTTTGGATTTTTACTGAGGCTTTATGGAAGTTATATGTATACACATTTTAATTGCTCACATACATTAAGTTATAATTAATATTCGAATAGTACACTTTAATAACATACCATATGTACGAATATACATATTTAGGATTGTAGTGTTCACTGTTTGTAAATAATATAAAAAAATCTGTCGAAAACATACAAAAAAAAGGTCTCACATA